TTATGTGTTTTTGCTTCAACGAGAACAACTGGACAAAATTAAATGAACTAGTCCTTCATTTATTTATCTGCAAAATAAATAAAGCCTCTGCTGGCACAGATAGAGTGAAGCGTTTCCTTGCTTTGCTAGTTCATGCTCCACCTTTCTGACTCCTCCTAAAAGGAATAATTCATTTCTTTTCTCTAGACTCTTGAATTTTCATTTCAAACAAAAGCTTGTGTTTTCCAAACTTTCGGATTTTTGGCAAACATGACTGATGCCTCTGCTAAATAGAAGTTTAGAAAGAGTTTTCTGGAGGATGAGCGGTTATTAAGTCCAAGATGTCCCCCGAGTGTTTATTCAAGAGCTTATGCAGCAAGCATGCCCCAGATATAGAGTGTGCTCAGACCTTATCGCTTCTCGCAATGAGCATGTCTGACAAAGGCAGATTAGGCAAGGGGTGCTTCAGGAATGTGTTTCGAGCCCTGCTGACTTTTTTTAGACTTGTGCTATCAGTTACCTCGTCATTTTCTATGTTGCCCATAAGGAGTTTGGCCATTAACACAATTCAAAAGCTACAGATAAAATGCTAATGTGACAGATTATAATATTTGTTTTATGTTAATTTAGTTTGGACACACAATGCTAACAACAAAGTTCCTCAAATGTGACTCACTCGACGATGTTGACTACATCCAGGGGTACCGCTATGGTTTCTGGGCCCTGTGAACTGCATATATAAATCATCTTCTAGGGGGTGGGGGTGGGGGGGGGTCCCCCTCCCAGTAGAAATCGTGTTCGGGCCCCCTCTCCCTAGTCAGGCCCTTGGAATTGTCCTAACACCCCCCTGACTATAGCAGTGTCCAGCTGACCTATAAACACATGTAAATAAATAAGAACTTTTTGTTTTTATGCTGTTGAAGTTGTTGTAACCATATATTAAGTTATTATATGAAACCACAGCCATTTTCAAAGACTAAAATGCATAAAAGTATACAACAAGATTTACAATAAGACATAAATCATCATCTAAAATTATTTGGCTTTAGCTTTAGCCCATTAAAATGGTTCCTGTTTAAAAAGTGCTTTTTTTAAATGCAGTAACATAATCTAGAGCATAACTGTCTGTCTGCGCTGTTGTGTCTCAATTGTAATACAGAACAGATAACAGGGACACTTCACATGACCTTAGACCTTCTGGTGTCATGGCCAAACGACTAATGTGAACACTTTTCCAGATCCCTCATAAATCATGCCATTTCTACAAAAAATAGTTGAGTGGACAAAGTGATGATGGTGAAACTTTTCTTCTGAAGCCTGAATAATTCTCTGCCGTTCACAGTTGAACACAGATTAAACTCTCATGTTGTTCCAGCTCTGTTTTGATTTTATTTCTTTCATTCTTTGAAACATCTCTTATGAAACATAAGAGATGTTAAGCAAAGTAGTGTGTGGAAAAAGCCCACAAAAGTGGGTCGTGATTAATACCATTTTTGTATTTTTTTAAATACATATTTTATTTTATTCCAAACTCCAAAATGAGCAAAAACAGCACTTAGTCTAAATGACTTTTGCGCTACAAAATAAAAGGTAGCAATCTGCATTTGTAAAAAGCTATTTCTACCTGATCTAACCTTTTTATTTTATTTTATTTGTATAACCTAATGTGTTTAGGTTGATTCAGAATGTATAGTCCATCTCTTATGAAGTCACATGATAGATTTCTGTGAGAAACATATCAAAATTTCAAAAGGCACTATTAATCTTTCTCTCTGCTAGAGTCTTTCATTCTTTGAAACATCTCTTATGAAACATAAGAGATGTTAAGCAAAGTAGTGTGTGGAAAAAGCCCACAAAAGTGGGTCGTGATTAATACCATTTTTGTATTTTTTTAAATACATATTTTATTTTATTCCAAACTCCAAAATGAGCAAAAACAGCACTTAGTCTAAATGACTTTTGCGCTACAAAATAAAAGGTAGCAATCTGCATTTGTAAAAAGCTATTTCTACCTGATCTAACCTTTTTATTTTATTTTATTTGTATAACCTAATGTGTTTAGGTTGATTCAGAATGTATAGTCCATCTCTTATGAAGTCACATGATAGATTTCTGTGAGAAACATATCATTTCATACTTGTATGAAATTATTTGACCTGCAAATGGTATGACAGAGGTGATGATAGTTAGCAAACAAGGCTCAAAAATGTACTGTTTATAACACAAAATGAAGACTTGGAATATAGCACACAACTCATATGACTACTTTTGTGATATTTTATGGTACTTTTTACAAGTATAAATCCACATTACTTTACCAGAAGCTCAGACATTCACTAACTTTTTTGTGTGAAATATTTTATATACTATATGACTCCTTACAATAATCTAATCCTCAGTACAACACGAACTATTCTGAACTGGTTCTGCAGCCCATCATTACCCACCCTGTGTCAGCATGTCAATCACAGTCACCACACAGACAATCAATCTGGCCTTCTTTCCCAATCTTTCTTCTCTCTCTCTCTCTCTTTTGTTTTTGGTGCAAGTGTCCCAGTTACGAAACCGCGTACATCCCACTCAGTCAGAGGTTTGAGCTCCTGCTCCCTCCCACAGGGTATGTACCAATATGCACGGAGCACATTTTCACAGATGCCATCAGAGAACAAGCATATGAATTACTAGGCAGCCTGCCATCTTTGAGTTCAGACAGAATGCTATTAATACCAGATGAAGAGCCCAAACAACAACAGCACAACAACATGAAAGCCCAAAACAACTGGGACCAGGTAAAGGTTTCATCATTTTATATATTAATGTCTTGATTAACAAAGACTCCAAACTCAACTCTCTCTCACACGCATATTCTCTCGTTCTCGCTCTCCCTTTCCCCCAAAAGTTGTGACACCATTGAAACTACCGGCACACTTGAGGGACTCTGTGAAAAAGGATCCTGTCAGCAAATCACGTTACGATTAATAAAATATATGCCACTGTTGACCATGACTTATTCAAGAGCTATTATAAATTCATGCCTACAATTAAAGAAAACACAATCATTTTAAAATTGAATGGCAATAAATATTAGTATTACCCAATTAAGTCACAATTAATACTAAGCAGGCTGATTTGCTGCAAATGAACACTCCAATTAAAAGATGCACGTACAAATGGAATGAAAGGGGGAATTATACTGCCCATAGCATCTGGCCACATGGAAACGTGATGAGAATATGAGCTAGATGGACAAAGGAGAACTATAAAGGAATAATATATGTTGTTTTGTGAACATTTTAAACTGTCTTTTTTTAGTCTTTGTACGTTTGTTTATTAGGATTGACTACTGCTGCTATGTTCCCTGTGAGAATAATGTTGTTTATTAATATAAACCATTTCTGATGGTATAATAAAGTGTGACAAACTTAAACACTCTATAATTAAAAAAAAGGCCAGATATCAAATAAAGAAGGAAAATATTCAACTCTAGGAAATCAAAGATTATCATCTTAAAAAATTATATGAAAATTATATATGATATGATATGATCCTGAAAAAAAAAAACTTATTTTCAGTTTACAGTTTACACAAAATATAATTTTATCGAAATAGTACTGGAATTGTGATAATAATAAGAAATGTTTTGTGTGAACATCAAATCAGCATAAAATAATGATTTCTGAAGGATTATGTGACACTGAAGACTGGAGTAATGGCTGAAAATAGAAAGCAGTTATTTGAAATTGCAAGAATATATTACAATATTACTGTTTTTACAGAATATTTTTGATCAAATAAATTTAGTATTGGTGAACATAAGAGACTTCTTTAAAAAAAAATAAAAAATGTTATACAGACCCCAAAACGTTTGAACAGTAGTGTGTGTGTGTGTGTGTGTGTGTGTGTGTGTGTGTGTATGCATGGAAAAACTCTAAATCTTGACTTTATAAAAAAAAACTTTTAATAAATGAAATGTAATGAACTATACATTAAAGCATTGCTTTCTGCCAAAATCTGATTTGACAGGTAATAACGCACATAATATATCATATGATTATATTAACACATGTTTGATTTAATTAAAATATTTCATTAGATATGAAGGCAACAATCCAATTAGTGCTTAGTAAATAAATCTCTTTGAGTGGGACAGCCTAGATGTTGTCAGAGATGGCCAATCAAACCTTGCATACAATGGAAAATGACGATAAACCTCCACATCTTAACACAGCTTGATAAAGCAGCTGCAATGAGGAGGCACTGGCACTGCTATATAAAACATCACCTTTTCACCTTTGCTGCATCAGCTTATTTAGGTGCTTATTTGCAGTACTGATAGCAGCCTTCGTGCACTTAGACCCCTTATTGATAATGGCCCATTTTACTAGGCATAGACCTATAGGTTGCATAATGGACAGTGATGTAGTCAGCCAGGAACTTTATATGAGCTTGTTGTTCCAATCGACCTTCTTGAAGTCACGATCCCAGGGCACATAATAAAAAAGAATCCAAAATAGATTCAATTTATGTAAGGCTGGTAAAGCAGACTTGAACCAAAGGCTTATGTGGGCTTTTATGTTCACATAAGCAGTCACATTTTCCCCTGAGTCTGACCACCCACACTGTGATTTTTCGGGTATAGAAAGTTCAAGGGATATTTGGCTCTCGATCCAACCGCCGTCTTCCACATCCCCTCCTGTATAGCTGCCAGTATCGCATCTAAAGGAAAGGACTGGTGAGTTTGTCAGATGCAAATATCGCTGCTGATCATTTGGGAGAAGGTTATGACAAGGTGACAGAAGTTCTGTCAGGGCGAGAGAAAGAAAATGACAAAGATCGAGGGAGAGAAAGAAGGCAAACCTCAGGAGAGGATTTGTAATTCCTCCTGATGCTTCGATTGACTGTAGACAGTCAGGCAGGCTGTGCCTCACCAAGCGCCGGTGTTTCCTTTGGGGGCCCCCTCCCGGCCGAGGGGGGAGGTGGAGAATTGCAATCCCACCCCGTCAAAGTGCTCTCTCTTAAACACTCACGTACACACACGTACACACACACATACAGCAACTCTCCACAGGAAAAGCTAGAGACAGAATGCGCAGCCCCTTCACAGCAGCTTTGGTGTGTCGTGGCGTCCAAATGGGATCGTACTACACTTTGATAGTTGGTTAATTACTCATATGATACCACACAGATGTCTGGGGGGCTCTAGCCGAATATTCGTCTCACTAACTCACTGACTGACTGACTGACGGGATCCTGGGGAAGGCAGACATTTAAGGAGCGGTAGGTGAAAAACCAGGAGGCATTTATAATTCATTAGTGTAGCAGTTTACTTGCCGTTAAGGATCCCTTTAGTGCCTAGCTGATGCTAAACTGAGATGCTACTTGAAGGGCTGTCTACTAAATAGTTCCTTGTGTACCAGGTGGTGGCAGGGACTTTGAACAGGAAACACATCTTGGCTCAGAAGTGTTCCTTTGCTGTCAAGATAATGAAAGGGGGTTTCAAATGATTCCAAACAAGATGAGAGTTGATTAACTTTTCTCACTTGTGATTCTCGTGTACAAATAGGCTATGTTTGTTATGGATTTATTGCATTTATTTGAAATGCATTCAAATAATTTTTTTAAATAAAATAATAGACATTTTAATGCTATTCTCAGTCAAATGTCAAAATATGAAGCTTACAGTTATTGGAAAATTTGGTAACACTATACAATAATGTCCTATTAGTTAATGTTAGTTAACTAGTACATTTGTTACAGTATTTATTCATCTTTGTTAACATCATAACAGTTCATTTGGTAGTTCATGTTAGCTTAGATCCATTAAACAAATACTAGCAGATACAACTTTTGATTTTAGTAATGCAGTAAATGTTGAAATTAATTAATTATTTTTCATTGTTAGTTCATGCCATTTTATTAAGTTAACCGATGTTAGCAAACGTTATTATTACCAAAATTATATCTGAAGGATATAAAACCATGTAATTGTTATTAAGCAGTTGTCTTTGAATTTAATAATACTAGAAAACTACATATTGTGAAATGCATATTGTGACATCTTTATTAAGTTTGGGGAAACTGCCCTTATGAATGCCAAATGCAAACCAAAGCGGGAATGTGTGTTGAGGAAACAAACTGATGAAAGCCGTGCAACGGGCACATTTTAAAAATTACAAATAAAAAAAACAAAAGCTTGATGCTGTGCCACTAGCACCATGCCAGCATTGATGGGTACTTGCCGGGAATGACAGGAAAGGCAATGTCTCGTCCCTCTAGCGTGACAGTAACTCGCACTGGCACTTTCCATCTGTGCTCCTCTACTAAATCCCTTTTGAAGTTGTCTTGAAGTTTTGCAGATCTAGTGTTATACTTTTAAGTAATTCTCTTTGATTTTGTTTTATTCTGAGGCCTGCGTCGTATGTCTCTTTATTTTGTGTGCTCGAGCTGCGACAAACTGAACTCCAATTTGCTTAACGACATGTGGTTTTGATGTCCGTCCTGTTGTTTGTTATCCCACAGCTGTGCTAAATAGCTGTAATCAGACTCTTATCGCCTCATCTGGAAATCAAAGAGTGAACTGTGTTCTGCAATGGGCATTACGACACTACAATTGCTTTTGCTAATGGCCGTCCTGGCCACTGTTGGAATATGTCACATTAATGGAACAGAGGAAGTCCTTCAAAACTTTACTACCTCCAAAATCAATGTGCATAAAGGTCTCCAGCCCTCCACCAGAAAAGCCCTGCTGGATAACAAAACCAGAGTGAAGGGGCCTCCATCCTGCAAGGATCCCACTTCCATCAAGCTCTATTTTAAGTATATTAACACAATTATTTCCTGTGCCGTGTTTGTGGTGGGCATGGTGGGTAACGCCACCTTGCTGAGGATTATTTACCAAAACAAGTGTATGAGGAACGGACCCAACGCCCTCATCGCCAGCCTGGCTCTTGGAGACCTCATCTACATCACCATAGACATCCCTATCAATGTCTACAAGGTAGGCACAGATCTGTTTCTTCATTGTTTTCAATTGATAGGAAGCATGACATCATGTTGCTCTCAAAGGGTACTTTTCATAAAACAGACCAGCCTACAGAGTACAATACAAAAGAGACAGCTTGAGCACAGGAAGGGAGAATGAGCTGGCAGAGGAAGTTGGGAGGGGGCTTAGATGCACAGGGCAGGGGCGTACGATTATATACGGTCATCCAGAGTTTATCTCTAGGGCCATCCTATTACGGTTACTGAGGTTTTTGTGATGAGTGCAGCAGGGATATGGCCTGATAGAATAAACAGGGGATTGAAGGGCGGTCATCCAAACGAACAGCCCTGTTCTGACTATAGTGCTTCATCACAAGCCAAAGTTCCTTGTCTAATTTTCAGCTCATCAGTGAACATAGTACTTGACAATGAACAGAGGCCTGTGTTAGCAAATGGATCAATGATGTAATGTTCTCTTAATTTATTCAAAAACAGATGAAATATGCAACTCAGACATACAATGACTTAAATACACTTCTTCAGTAAAGAGCATATTTTGAATTTCTGTATGAAAAATATGCTCAAAAAATGTCAAGGTCATACAACCGTCCTGATATCATTATGAAGAAACAAGACATATAAAAAAAAAATGAAATGATTAAAAAGTATTTTGGCGTCATCATCTTATTATTTCTTATGGGATAGAAGAAAGAATATTTTATGCTTCTCTGCTTAATAAAAATCATGTGGCCCAATATAAAAATAAAAAAAACATGTGGTCCAAACAAGCAGACTTAAAAAAAAAACATAAAACAGGAAATTATTCCATAGAGGACTCCTGCTTATCCTCATGACTGTGTGACAAGGTATAATTATCCAAACATTCAAGATAATTTTACTTTTTATGGCAATGCAGTTCATGTTGTAAAATGTCATGTAGTGTGACCCCCCAAAATTCACTGACATTTATGAATGAATAATTCAAAATAAAAAAAAATTGATATTTAAAAGGAAAAACACACATGTATTCAAGGTGTACAAAATATTATTAATATTAATATTATATAAATAATATTTATTTGTGTACATTTTTAAAATGCAATTTTATTTATTTATGTTTTGTTGTTGAAGATACTTTTTACTTGATGGATACACCACATGACATTTTTGGAGTCATACTGAAACTTTTCTTGAAAAAGGTTGAAAAAGTTTCTTGAAAAAGTCCCCCCCCCCCTCTCATCACTGACTCATGCCACGTTTCCTATCTGTAGTCCGTCTTCACAATTTATAAAGTCAAAACGCTCTCTGAAATGAGTTTAGCACTGAATGTTTGTCTTCCAATTTTCAGCATTCATAAAGTCTGTTATTATGTTTTACAAAATTCATTTTGAGAGACTTTTGGGATATTGGGTGGAGATGTCAGATGAACATACTCTTAAGAGTTTCGTGATCAGAGATCTCGTGTGCTGCTCTATTAGGATGGAAAATATCAAGTGAAAGCTCACATGAAAAAAAAAAAACATAAATGTTTTAAAATGGAAGTGTGATGTTTAGCATGTCTTGTTTTGTGGCGCATATACTTGTTTTGTGTGCATTCCAGACCACTGACTTCTACTATACATCAAATACACATACAAACACACTTCTCCAGCTGTGCCACTGATTAAACTCAACACTCCGCATACAAACAGGGCCAGGATACACCCGTGAGGAGTTTCCTTTCTAAACCTGAGCATAATCCACATACTTTTCCTGCTTAACAAAAGGCAAGGTCCTCTCAGAGAACCTTGTCAAGGCCACTTAAATGATGAGACATTGCAGAAGTTCAACCCCCCCCAAAAAACACTTATGATGAGGCAAATGTCATTACAAAAAAGGTGTACACTACAAAAGAGGAGACAGGAGGTTTTTGTTTTCATCTCTACTGGAGTCTTGCAAGGTGAAGACAAGCAAAAGTATACAACGACCAAGAAAGTGCCTGGGCAACCATTGAAACGGCTCTGAAGCCATTTCATCAAGACAAGATGTGTGCCCTTAAGGTCAAAAATGGGAACAGAGAGTCAAAACAAAACAAAACAAAAAAATCTGTTCTTTATTTAAGCAAATTCCAGACTGCTTCAATTTTGGTTAAACATCTCCATTTCTTTCTTTCATATAAATAAACACCCAGAGATATGCACTTAACATAAGTAAGAACATGTTGCTCAATTCCTCCACATTTAATTTATTCTACTAGAGTGAACGATTAGCTTGTGGGTCATATGGCTGAGGAATCATAGTCATGAATGATTCTATTTTTCTTGCAGCTACTTCTCACAAAATGGCCATTTGATGACAGCTCTTTTGGACTCTTCCTGTGTAAACTGGTGCCTTTCCTCCAGAAAGCGTCTGTTGGGATTACAGTACTCAATCTGTGTGCTTTGAGCGTGGACAGGTAAATCACAGCTTCACTATTTTGATGTCAAAGTGTACATATATAATTGCTAACATATAATTATATCCATAATCTAAAAAAAAAAGAAAGAAACAAAAGCAGTTCTTGACAGACCCGTTTCAGGTCTGAATCAGGTGGGTTTGATTAGTGAGACATTGAAAATGTTGGGGGAGCTCTGTGAACGGATTGAAAACAAAATCAAACAAAATGTTGAAATACTGACCACTTTTAGTGTTTTGCTATTCAAAAGCTAATTTTTTCTCCAAATACTCATATGTTTTCTAAAATAAAATAAAGCTTGTAAACCCTTTTGCCCACAAAACCTTCTCTAATTTGACCTTTAAACTTTGGGTCACAGTGAGGTTGGGGTTCAGATTTCACTGTTGAGCTCAGGGATAGACCTATAGGTCAGAAGCTGGGACACGTTTTAATCTTTCACTTCTCTACTTATCAAGTTATTTTGTATTTTATTGTATAAGTCATTATAATAGAAAAAAAGGAATACTTTTTCACAATATTTGTATCAGTGATAACTAAATACTAAGTAATATGGAATCTATCTGCAATCACATACATGTTTATTACAAATTTTATTAACACAAAATGCAAAGAGGTCATTTGTCAAGTAACTTAAATTCTTTCTATTATATTTATTCACCATTGTTTATTTATTACAATTTTCTGAGCCCTCTCCAATTAAATTAAATTACCTTTTGACAAATTACCTCAACATAATGTGAACTCCTTCTGATATACAAAAAGAAAAGCAGAAACAGACAATATTATGTTCTTATATTCTTTCAGACAATAATATTCTTTTTTTTCTGAGTAAAATACTTTTCATTGTCAGCACTATAAATGCAAATCTGAGCCACAAATTTCTAGCAGCCTGTCGCAATTTTTAAAGAATGAATCACTTGAATCAAACGTCTGGCCTTAATTTTACAACAGCACAGCCGCTTTCAATTAGTTTGTGAATCATGCCGAGGAAATGTTCAGCACATCTCGTCCGAATCGTGTTCCCCATGTTGCGTGAACTTACATATCATGTCTTTCTCATCCGTCTGAGTGTTGGCAAAGTGGATAACATCTCCACTTAGTGAAATATAAATGCCACATTGTTGTTAAACAGGAATATTCAAATGGTTCATAAAAAATATATATAGTTATGTATAAAATCTTGATGCACCGTTTTACAGAAAAACCCACAAGAGAAAAGATATTAATGAAACAAACAAGCAAACATAACTTTGAGCAAAGGGAAACAAGCAGCCAGGCAAACCAGTGACTTTACCAAACAAACAGCTGAAGTATATCTGTGAGCATTTTAGTAATATGAATATTAAAATGCAAAGCAGTCCTTTCATTAATCTTAGATCAACCTTTAAGCATATGGTAGCTATAAACCAGTAGCTGAATGTTGTAACAAAAACACAGCTGTACAGCAGTGATATTTTTACAAAAGCTTTCCCATCAGGAATCTGATCAGTCGAGCTTTGCAGGTGTTGACATAAAACAAAGATGGTGTTGAAGACTCTACATTCTTCTCTGGGGTCATTCACAGAAATGTTTAGTGCACATGAAGCAGAGCTTCAATGATATTTCTCTTTTTTGAAATGTTGAAACAGATGAGCAATCGTCTGAGAGTTTTGCTAATTTGTTGTACCTTTTGTGGCTCAGGTACAGGGCTGTAGCATCCTGGAGCAGAGTGCAGGGGGTCGGCATTCCCCTCTTTACTGCCATTGAGATCTTTTCCATCTGGGTCATGTCCATCATCTTGGCTGTGCCAGAGGCAGTGGTCTTCAACATGGTCACCTTTACCTACAAGAACCAAACCTACCGCACTTGCATGCTCAAGCCTGAAACTGACTTCATGATGGTACGCTTTAACCGGATGGATGTCATGCAGACGTCTTTTCCCCTCATTCGCATAAACACTCAAGCACTTTGTAATAAACAGTGCATCCTGTCCGGTTGACCCCGAGCAGGATGCCGTGCACTATTTCTGTGATCTTTTACAAACTTTGAACCTGGGAAGAACATTTTAAGTAAATAACAGACAATACAGAGGATAAGAGTAAACCCTTTGAGTTACCTTCAGTTGCCCCGTGCAGGCGATATCTGGAGATTTCTTTCCATTTGTTTCAGTCCAAAGAAGTAAATTGATAGCAGACCATGAGTGCAATTACAAGCTGATGTATCTCTCTCAAGCAAAGCCATATGTGTAGATGAGAAACAGAGTTCATTATCTCATATGAACCCTGCCATTAATCACAGAAACAAAAGACAATTCAAACAAACTCAACACAGCACAATTCAATTATAAAAATTAAATTAACATTGTGTTGAGTTCACCTTTTTTTATGCATAACAGTTATGCTAGGGACTCCTAAAAGGAGTTTCCACTACTTTTTATGGACTATTTAGCTAACATATGCCCCATTCAGAAGTTTGGGGTCAGTACATCAGCTAAAATTCTTACTGACCGCAAAATTTCAAACAGTAGAATTGAATATCTTTATCGTTATCATCTCTTTATTTTTCTTACCGGTTCATTGCTCTTCTGGCTTCTAAACATCCATCAAAGGTCTAAGCTCACCATTAAATCAATGCTGTGATCTTCTGAGGCCATTTTTGTTACTTTTACTCCTGCAAATTAACTATTTTAAACTAAGTTGGTATTATCATATAAAAAGGATTTTAAAAATTGTTATGACAACTCAGCCCTTAAATTATCTTATTTCATGACATATTAACTGTGTTTGTTTACTGTACACATAATGGATAGCGTTTATGTGTTTTATCTTCTCTCAGTTCTATGTAAATTGGAAAGACTGGTGGTTATTTGGCTTTTACTTCTGCGTGCCGCTGGCCTGCACAGCTGTTTTCTACACCCTCATGACATGTGAAATGCTCAACCGCAGAAATGGAAGCCTTCGGATTGTCCTCAGCGAACACCTTAAACAGGTAAGAATAAGTCCTTATTACTAATGATCATAAACATCCAAGTCTGTATGATAAAAACATACTAATAATTGCTGAACAGTAAAGGCTTTTGCATTTAGAATATGTTCTGTGTGTTATTGTCTTTATGAACGCTTAGATGATATCATAATATTCTTTTTAACCTGTCCTGTATGCACTATTGTGAGTAAAGCCTTTGAAAGCTATAGAGGAGTTACAATATGAGAGTATATTATATAACACTGAACATACTGCTGTTCTAATGGCTTGTTTATGCTCTGCAGCGGCGTGAAGTGGCTAAAGCAGTCTTCTGTTTAGTGCTGATCTTTGCTCTTTGCTGGTTCCCTCTTCATCTCAGTAGACTGTTGAAGAAAATGGTTTATGTTCCAAATGATGAAAGACGTTGCGACCTACTCAAGTGAGTGAGCCTTTGCCAATTTGGACTCTTAACAGTGGACTGATTTATTTTATACCTTACATGCTTGTACTGCTTGTGCATAAGTCATTTTTTTCTGAAGTAAAAGTTATATTTTGTACTCTAAAGTGTTTATACAGTAAGTGCTCATAAGTTTACATACCCCTTGGAGACTGTAAGATTTGTAGCATTTAAAAAAAAGTATATATAAATATATAAATGTTTTTAGGTTTTTATGGTCTTTCTTAGCAAAAAAAATTTAAATAAAGATCTTGTAGATTATGCAAAGGGTATGTAAACTCAGGAGCAGAACTGGATACGCAACAAAACTAAATGAGTGTCCAAACTTTCAGCTTCCTGTTGATCATGGATTATTTTGGCATCAACTTGGCCACTGTGAACTCATGCATCAACCCCATCATTCTCTACTTTGTGAGCAAGAAGTTCAATAATTGCTTTAAGGTGAGTTTAAAACTGCTTGCTTCCTTCATTTACCTGCCATTGCAAATGCAGAACGTCTTCGCAAAATCTGAAAATGGCCACAACAGAACAATCTATCAGCAAATTACGCTTGATTTACAGAGACAGATGTTTAGGGTCCTGTGAGTCATTCTCAGAGAGAGATAAGCCATGCCCAGCCCTTACTGAGCACAGTTTACCGATAATGATGTCAAACCCTAAGTGGGCTGCTTTTGAGTAATGAGGATGATCCCAAAGATAGTGTTTGCGAGACAAAGCAAAACAACAACAACTCAAAGTTCATGGGCCTAAATACAAGCAAATTGATGATTTGTGCAAGAGATGGTGTGGGTCCAAGAGAAATATTCAAAGTTGATTTACTATGGGTCAAACTTAGTGCTGCAGATAAGAAATTCGGATTCATTTAAACTCGTTCACCTCCAATACAATACAATGTGTACAACTTAAAATCTAAACCTCATTAGAAAAATGTCCCTGTAGCAACATTTCTGTAAAATAATATTACAGTAAATTGCTCCTTGCATGTTTCATGGAACTTTCAAATGGAAATGCCCAATGAGTGGCGCTAAACAGCATATGTTCAAGTGAGTCTCTGAAACAGATGAATGTAAATCTATCAACGTTTTATTCTGTTGGCTGTTCTAAGCATCACAGCAGTTTGAAAATTGAATGTCCAGTGAGTGGCGCTAAAAGATTAATGCTTTATCGTGTTTGAAAATAACATACCACCTACCCTAAACCTAACAGTGTTAACAAAAGCAAACATTAGATAAAAACACATCTGCTAAAGCAACCATGCCATTTTAGCTTACTTCTATAATTCTTTAAGCTGTTTTATCGGGTGTCGTGACTTGTATTTTACCGCACTCATATCCCAGCGTTCTGAATTGCAAATGCAATGCTGTACCAGGTGAGCTATCGAGCAAGCTTACTATGTCAAAAAAGCCATACATATAGAGCTGGTTATTTAATACAACATCAAAATGTATTGGTTTACAAATCATACTCAATGGTAAAAGTGTTTTGGGGTCATAAAATAATATTATAAAAGGAACCACACAAAAAAAGTCTTTATTCATTGATAATCTGCCAATGTAATCATAATGAATGTGTGAAAATGTGCTTTATTGCCTTTAGTTTTCATTTCAGCTAGAAAGTGCTGTGAATTGAATGTAAAAGTAAATTTTTGGAGTTTAGCAAAAATCAAGGTATGTTTTTCCAGTGAGCCTATGTTGGTACAATCAAATGATTTTCTTTGTTCTTTATCATTATTTCAGTCCTGCTTGTGCTGTTGGTGTTACACCAAGAACCAGGTGTCCAGCTCAGGCCCAATGAACGGCACTAGCATTCAGTGCAAAAACCATGAGCCCGCCAACCTCAATACCGACAGAAGCCTTCGTAAATACAGTGAATGAGAGGTGAAGGACTCACTCCAGTCAGCCTACATGCTTAAAACACATTATAAAAGCGGACATCATCCAGCGTCAAACTTTGAGGTGGAAAACATTGTAACCATTCATATGAAACTAAAGTTCCTGTGCTCGGCGCAGTATCAGGCTGTTTTTTTATATAGCTTCAGACCAGACAATGGACCTGATATATTTAAAGTCTCCCATAGACCTACAGCAGCTGTTCCCAGACTTTCAGAGGGTTGTTTTGCTGTGTGAGAAGTGGTGGGAGTGAAGACCAACAGCAACAGGATGCAGCTGAACCTAACAGCTTCAAATTAACCCTCATCAGGAGCTTGACATGTTTTCCTTATGTAAATGCTACACTATGAACATGCTCTGGATCGTCACTGTCCGACATGAAAGGAAGTTACAGAAAGGAAGATTGAAGTGGCGAGGGTCAATCTGTGTTTTCTGTGTTCCTTCCTATGAGCTTTGCCAAAGAAACTCCCAGCATGCCGCTGAGGAGGCAGCCTATCCTTCAAATTCAGTGTCCGGTTGTTATTGTTAGCACATTGAATGCAGTTATGGAAGTTTAAGCCAGGCTAGTTTGTAAAACAGGAACTTCCAGGCCGCTACATGTCTCAATCTTTATTAAGTTGTTAAGTGAATCATATTGTGCGCTGGACGTCACTTCTGTTTATTTAGTGGGGTAGGAAGATAATGAAGGTATGCCTTTGTGTTTGAATGCCAAATTAAGTTTATTGTGTATATGCTTGTTTACGGTGAAAATATAAGCTCAGAATTAAATTACAAATCAAAACGTGAACATAATACAGCAAATGTGAAATGAACCAGCTGGATTCAGTTCCAGCAATAAGGAGGCAAATGAAACTTGCTGGGATTTAAGAATAATTTCTAGGAATTCATCCAACTGCAACAAATTCTGTGTTATCTTTCTGTAATCAAAACAAAAACGCCCAAGAGATACAAACATGTCTTTGCTTTTTTTGACACTGTGAATTTTCTGTGAACATAACTCATACATGCTATTAACCTTGCATAGATTAATATTATTAATATTTAATGGCCTCAGTATTTGTATGTCATCTGTATTTTAAGTTGAAATATTTATTGTTGTTGCAAAAACATACACTACCGCTCAAAAGTAGGGGTCAGTAAGATTATTCATCTTATTTAATTTTATTATTATTATTATTATTATTTTTAATGAATACTTTTCTTCGGGAAAAAAGATGCATTAAATGGATCAAAATAAACTGTAAAGATTTCTGTCTCAAATAAATGCTGAACCTTTCAAACAGTTATTTGAAATTGTAAAAATATTTCATCAAACAAATGCAGCTTTTCCCTAAACAAACTACAAAAACTCCTACTGGACCCAAATTTTTGAATGGTAGTGTATAAGGAATTAAGAAGTCAATTTTCTTATTGATGTAATTTGAAACTAATATGAATGACATTATACACATTCTGACAGAGACCTACATGGGTCTTGTTA